CCCTCTGGGCTGGCGGGCCTTGGTTTCTGATTTTGAATTTTTGTCTTCATTCATGATAGAGCATGTGCCACACATGAGAGGGACAGAGGGAGGAGATAGACCCGCCCCTCGGAGGGTCCGTTCGCACTGTGATCCCCTTCCCAGTCCTCCAGCCCACCAGATCTTGGGCACTCACTCACGCATGTGCCCGGCATATTTCCGACTGGCCAGTCCCAGTATTCAAACCATAGTTGCCACGTGGGATCCAGCTTCTCCAGAGCAGCACCTTACCACTGTGCCACAGGGCTGGTTCCACCCTGGCTCTCGCTGCTAGCGGTCCCCTGGTTCTCCTCGTAGGCTCTGGGCTCCTCCTCTCTGTGTGGATAGCACAACGGACCTTTTTCACGACAGCCCTGGGCTTCCAAGACACAGGAATGGGAGTCGCCAGATCCTTCTCTGCCTCCGATCCGGACCTGGCAGGACGTCCTTTCTGTCTGACCTCTGGTTAACCAATCCCAGGCCCCACCCATTTTCAAGGGAGGGGACCACAGAAGACCTGGTGTGATGTGCTGGGGGCCACAGCACAGCCTCCTGGGCTTCTGCCTGTTACTCTTCTCCAGCCACAAGGCTGGCATGGTCTCAAACACGCCACACACACCCCTGCCCCTGGGCCTTTGCACTCACTGTTTCTGTCTGCCCGAGTTTGAACGTGCTCTTTCCAGATATCCACGGATCTCACGTTTCTCCCTCCAGCTTGGCTAGATGTCACCTCAGCAGTGACGTCATACTTGACCCCACCTTACCTTACCAGAAACAGCGCCCCTTTCCCTATCACTCTGTCCCCTTACACCACTGTCTGGGTTTCTGTTGTCGATGGTTTCATTGCACCTGTCACCTCCTGGTGTAACGCTCATGATCTGTTTATTGCCTGATCTCCCTCTCTCCCACCTCAGGATGTCAGTGCGTGTGAGTAGGGCACTGGCTGTCTTCACCGCAGCCCTTAGCTCCAGATATGGCACATGGTGGACATGAGTATCCACAGTGAGGAAACCGAAGCTCAGAGACGCTAAGTAACTTTCCCAAAGACACACAGCTAGCGACCAAAGACCCAGGATTTGAACCCACACAGCTTAGCATCTAACATGAAGCCACAGCGTCTTTGCTGCCCAGCAGGGTAATTGCCTCCTACATCCTTCTCTTGTGTCCTGCTGTCTCACTCAGCAATCTTCCCATGGCCGAAATCTGACCAGGCTAAGACCCACCTTGCTGGTGCTGCCCTTGCCTTCAGCAGGGAGGCCTCCTGCCTGAGATCGCTGCATGAAGCACCACAAAGCACGGCTTCCCGTGGTGGCTGATGTCGCAGAAAGAACGTGGGTTTCAGAGTTAGGCCTGGCTGTTCAAAGCACCCCAAATCACAGGGTCTTTAGACGCGGGTAAGTTAGGAATGTCATTCACTCATTTGTCCATCTGATAAGAATTTGCTGAGTTCCTGCTCTGTGCCAAGGACAGTGCTGAGGTCCTGGGGTACAGTTGTGAGGACAGTCACGTGGTCCCTACCCACCGAGAATTTACAGCCCAACGTGGGGGGGCAGATACTGTTCACATAGCCACACAAATAAATGTGTACTTGAAGATTTGGTAAAAGCTGTAAAGGACCTGCCTGGTGGGAAACTGTAACGAGGCACCTGTCATAGTACAGTGAGGCAGGGACAGTCCTGGGGAAGTGACGTTTGAGTGGGAGTTCCTGTGTTGGGAAGAGTTCCTAGGAAGCAATTTAATTCCAGGCAGAGGGAACAGCATCTGCAAAGGCTCTGAGGAGGAGGGAGCTGGGCCTGTGTTAATATCTGAGAGATTCTAAAACAATGTGTGTTTAGAGGGCAGAGAGCCTGAGGAACCCAAGAGCTAGGCAGGAGCCAGATCTTGCAGGGCTGTGAGGGACCACTCGAGGAGCTGGGGAACCCGTCAGTGACTTTTCTCATCTGTCAAATGGGGAGGATAGCAGCCATCCCTGTAGGGTCTCTTCCTCTGCCCAGCAGGTCACCTCTGGCTCGTCCTGGCTGAACTCGAGAGCAGCAGAAGTCTTCAAGGCCTCCTGAGGCCAGGCTAGGAAAGGGCTCAAAAGCATCACTCCTCCTGCGCTCCGTGGGTGCAAACGGGTCACAGGACCAGCTCAGATCCACTAGTGTGTGGGGAGCTCTGGCCACAGTGCCTGGCATGTAGGAAATGGTCAGTGAAGGCTCTTATTGTTGGGCCAGCAGGTGGTGTGGTGGTTAAGGCACTAGATCCCACGTGGCCAACTCAGTAGTTTAAGTCTGGGACTGGATGCCTTGAAAAACATGCCCGGCACGTGTGCATGCATGCCCAGGATCTCGGGAGAATAGGGGAGAAAGGATCACAACATGGCCAGCTCCCCCAGGGGGTGATTTCTCATTTTCCCCCTTTATCTCTGTTTCTCTTGGGCACACCTGCTGAGGCCAAAAGAGAGAGAGAGAGAGAGCTCTTATTGTTGATATTGTTTTTGTTGTGTATTTGCATAGCTATTTATGCTTTAAAAATTGTTTTTAAATTGATAGTATGTGCAAGTGCACATGAAAAAGAGAGAGAGAGAGAAAAGCATCCCTAACTGGGTCCCATCGTGCCACATTCCCCCTGCCACAGCCCTCCAGCTTGTCAGGGTCTTGGAGGCACACACTCCACGTGTTTCAGGTTGACTGGCCAGGCTAGGGATCCGAACCTGTGGTTGGCCATGCAGCCTCCAGCACTATAGCTCAGTGTGCCACTGACTGCACAGCTGAGGCCAGGCCATTTTATGCTTTCCAGAGTTGTGTCATATCCATCATTATGTCCTACACTGTGTGAGGATAGGTGAGGCAAATGTTACTTCACCCCTTGGCAAATAAAAATCAGAGTTTAGGTAACTTACTCAAGGCCACATGTTTAACTAATGGCTGCAACTAAACAGTAGAATTCAAATGTACAACTCAAAGCACGTTTGCAAACACACCTGCAGAAAGAACCCATCTGCAGACATCGTCACTGGCCCAGGCTAGTAACTATCTACAACACTTACTTATGGTTTCAAAGATCCAAGAATTCTCTGTAAGTTCTCTGTTTTGGCTCCCAAGCGCCCTGGGGTGAGTGATGGTTTTCTTCTCTCTTCCCTAGAGAACCTCTCTCTGGATTCTAGTGGCTTCTCTTCTCCCCCTGTGAACTTCCTTCAAGAATTGCCGAGCTACCGGTCCATTGCACGCAGGAGGACAAGCTTCCTTTCCCGGGACAAGCAAAGTGGCACTTTGCTGAAGCCAACAGACTCTTTCGTCTCCCAGGTGGAGAGAGGAATCTCTGAAAACCTCAGTAGCCAGTCCATTCGAAAGTATGCGCTGAACATCTCGGAGAAACGGAGACTAAGGTTCGTTAGCCACCTGGGAGCCACCTGGTGTCTGTTTTGATGTATGTTTTGGGCAGGGATGCTTCTTATGCATGGAATGCATTTCCTGAAGCACGCGCATAATTAAAACTTTATTTCTGAGGGTAAGCTAAGCTGCTGTGATAGAGATATATAAGTTTACTTTTTTGTCACATGAAGTCCTAGGTTGGGGTCAGTGGGGGACCTTGCAGTCATTCAGGGACCCAGGCTCCTTCCATCTTGTGGCTCTGACTCCCACACCAAAAGCCTCATTTTCATCCACATCCAGATGGTGGAAAGGGAAGGAGTATGGAGTAGAACCACATTTGCTAGCTCCATGGCGTAATGAATCACCCACGACGCGGTAACTGTAAAACAGCAGTTGTATGGTCTGCAAGTCAGTGGTTGCAGCTGGACTCACTGTAAATCTGTGGTCAGCTGTGGGCAAGCAGGCCGGTGGAGGGGTCAGCTAGCTGTAGGCTGGTCTGGGGTGGCCTCAGCTGGGGTGATTACGTTGTCTCATTTCCCATCACTCCAAACAGAAATTCTGTTCCTGTTAAATAGCCATTCCCTGTTTTATCCTCCTCAGCCCCAGGCATTCACTAACCCACTCTGTCTCTATGGATTGCCCAATTCTGGACATTTCATACAGCCGGAATCATACGGCATGTAATTTTTTTGTATCTGGCTTCTTTCACTTAGCATAAGGTTTCCAAGATTCTTCCAGTGTCGTACATATCAGTACTACTTCATTCTTTTGCATGGCTGAATAATATTCCACTGCATAGATATGTCACAGTTTGGGGGCCAGCAGGTGGTGTGGTGGTTAAGGGCGCTGGACACCCACATGGCTGACCGTGGTTCGTGTCCCAGTCCTGGCAGCTTGCTTTCTCACTTTCCCTCCCTCTCTCTCTCTCACTCACTCTGTCCCTCTCTGGTCAAATTAAAATAAATAAATAAAGTTAAATAATTCATAAAAATAGAAAAAAAGGTATGCCACAGTTTGTTTATCCATTTATTCTTTGACAGCCATTAGTTCCACCTTTGGCTATTGTAAATAATGCCTCAGTGAACACTCATGACAGGTTTTTGTTTGAAAACCCCTGTTTATAGACTTTTATACTCACTCCTTGGGTACGGACCTAAGGAATAGAATTGCTGGATCATATATATATTGGGTTGTCAGAAAAGTCATGATGCATTTTTGCACACACACACACACACACACAAAAAAAAATTATGTCATGACTTTTCCAATAACCCAGTATATATGTATGTATGTATATGTGTGTGTGTATGTATAATTTTATGTTTAAGATTTTTGTTTGTGTTTTTTTATGATAGGGGGAGTATGTGCACACATGTGAGAGAGAGTGGGAGGAAAAGCACCCTTGACAGGGCCTTATACAACACCATCCCCTTTCCTGGGTCCTTCAACTCCTCAAGATCCTGGATCTTGGCCACCCATGTTTTTTTTTTTTTTTAAATAATTATCTATTTTATTTATTTATTCATTTATTTTTTAATTTGACCAGAGAGAGACAGAGGGTGAGAGTGAGAGAGAGAGGAAGTGAGAAGGCAAGCCACCAGATTCAGGACTCGAACCCTGGTCAGCCATGTGGGAGTGTCTAGCGCCTTAGCCACCATGCCACCTGCTGGTCCCATGGGCCACCCATGTTACCTCCCCAGCGGCAGTGCATGAGGGCTCCAGTTCTCCCCCACCTTTCCAGCGGGGGTTTTGTTTGACACTGAGCCTTGAAGATCCGGATGTTGTCTATTGTCGTGGTCTTTTTTTTTTAATGCAGGGACATTCAGGAGACCCAAATGAAGTACCTGTCTGAGTGGGACCAGTGGAAACGGTACAGCAGCAAGTCTTGGAAAAGGTTCCTGGAGAAGGCCCGTGAGATGACGACCCACCTGGAGCTGTGGCGGGAGGACATTCGCAGCATAGAAGGTGCCACTGCTGCAGGCTGTCTGGGGAGAAGCGCAGCTCCGTTTCGTTTTCTTTTTTTCTTCATGTCTCTTTTTCTTTTTTCTTCCTTTTTTTGTTTTTTAAACATTCAATCACTGTGTATCCTTCCAGCATTCCAAGTGAATTTTCCCATCCTGCATACACTGTCTATTGGTCCAGTCGAAGATATTACTATACACATTATCACCAACAGATGATTTTCCATGTTTGTGCCCCTGAAAGGTTTCGCTGCTTTCTCTCTCCCCTTGATTCCCTCCCTCTCACCCTCCCCCAGTCCCTACCCGCCTCCCACACGAGCATTTCCTTCCATGATGAATGTGGTTAACAGGCCGCACTCGGGCTCAGTGGAACCTGTGTCTTTGTCACAGGGAAGATCCAATTGTTGTGGTGACCTTGGAACGCTGCCATTTATTCACATCGCTCGTGTGAACTTTCACTAATGAAACCTGTCACTGGATCTTACCAAGTGCACGAAGGAAGATGCTCTTACGAGCCTCCAAAAGGTCATGGAAAATGCCCATCATAAAAAACTGTGCATGGGTTTCACACTTCTTTCTCACCAAAACGAATTCATACTTTAATTTCATTTTCACCTGAACCATTTCAAGTGCCCTCAAAGGTTATTCTATGGCAAATTTGTTTTTTTTTAATATTAGAGGGTTTTTTTTTTTTAAGTTTATCTATTTATTTATTACATGAACATGAGAGACAGACAGAGAGAGAGAGAGACAGCACCCTCAATAGGGTCTTCAAGTGCAATCCACTCCTCGCCCCTTCAGCCAGCCCTAGATCCTGGGGATACGGTGCCCAGCATACTCAGGAAGGTCTCAGATGCAAACCTTGTGGGTCAGGCTCTTAGCATGTCATGCTTTACCATTGGGCCACCATCTGGCCCCCTGTATTTCATGAATTTAAAAACATTATTCGGGGGCCAGCCTATGGCCTGGGGTTAAGAGACCCAGGTCCCAGGGACAAGCTTTTTTTTAATATTAGAGGGTGTCCCTGGACTCCCACGTAGTCAACCACGGTTCGCATCCTGGACCCAGTGGCTTAAAACTCATGCCGGGCGCATGTGCTTGCGTGCCCAAGTTCCCGAGAGGAGAATAGAGGAGAAGGGATTGCGGCGTGACCATCCCCCCTGGGGGGTGATTTCTCGCTTTCTGTCTCTATGTCTCTGTCTGTCTGGCGAGCGCACGTGCCCTATAGCGAAAACCTCTCCAAAAAAAAGAGACCCAGGTCCCACATGGCCAACTGCACAATGAAGTCCCAGGCCTGGCAGCTTGAAACACACAGCAGGAGTGTGTGCATACGTCCCCAAAGGCCCAATGGATGGAGAAATAAAGGATTGTGACAAGAGCATGCCCTAAGGGGGTGTTTTCTCCCCTCTCCCTCTCTGTTTCTCTCTTGTGTATAAGTTAAACCACTAGGAAGTAGAACTTTAAAACCAACAGTATAACAGTAAAATGGGGCCGAACAGTAGTGTAGTAGTGAAATACAGCACTCTGCAAGGCCACTCGGTGTTGGAAAGTTCCCAGTTCATGTCCAGAGACCTGAGTACGCTGACCACATGTGCTCTGTGATCCAGGGCTAACCGAGGCGGGAGTGGATCATGGTGTCAGGATCCCGTTGGAGTGCTGTCTCTCTGTTGCTCTTGCTTACAGAAGAAATAAATGGGTAAACTGAAAAAAAAAATTGTTTAAAAAGAAACACAGTGTTTCTTCTCACTCCTCACTGCACTCTTCCACCTTCAGTTCTTAGTGGCTCATTGAGTCTATGGAGCGAGCTGGGCCAGGACTCCAGGTCAGTGATGGTACATTTCTCTTTTCCAGGGAAGTTCGGCACTGGGATTCAGTCCTATTTCTCCTTCTTGCGGTTCCTGGTGTTGCTGAACTTAGTGATATTTTTAATCATCTTCATGCTGGTTTTGCTCCCAATCTTGCTCACCAAATACAAGATCACCAACAGCACCTTTGTGCTCATTCCGCTCAAAGACATGGGTGAGTTTGAGGCCTGATGCCTGTTCTTTTCACTGTGTACCTTGCTGCAATGCTTCCTTTTCTTTGCTAGGAATCTTTTTTTTTTTTAAAAGAGGTCCCTTAGGGTACTTGCCAGGGAGAGAGAAACCGAGACAGAGACAGTAAGAGGGAAAGTGAGAAATTGCCCCCAGGAGGGATGGCCACGCCTCAATCCCTTCCCCTCCATTCTCCTCTCAGGATCTTGGGCATGCACGCACACACACCCAGCGTGAGTTTCAAGCCCCCAGGTCCAAAACTCGAACTGTGGTCAACCTTATGGAAGTCCAGTGGCATAACTGCTTCGTCGTCTGCTGGTCTCTCTAGGAATCCTTATTCTAAATCTTGGGTGGCTCTATCAGGATGAGCCAAGTTTTGCTGCAGAAATAAATGATCCCATAACTCTCAGTGCCTCACAACTGCCAAGGCTTATCTCTCACTCATAGTCCACGTTCATCATGGGTTGGTGGTCTTCACTCTGCAGCTCAAGCTGGTGGAACAACCTGTCAGAACCACCGAAGGTCACTGTAGCCAGGGGAAAGAGCTGGGGCAGCCACGCACTGGCTCCTGAAGCTTCTGCCTGGAGGTGACACATTCCTTCCCTGCCACATCTCATTAACCAAAGCGAGTTGCTCAGCCATTCCTCCACACAAAAGATCTTTTAATTCAATCATCAGGAAAGTCATGATATATTTTTCTTTTCTTTTTTTGGAGGGAGAGGTTTTTGCTATAGGGCATGTGTGCTCATCTGAAAGACAGAGAGACAGAAAATGAGAAATCACCCCCCGGGGGGATGGCCATGCCACAACCACTTCTCCTTCATTCTCATCTCGGGATCTTGGGCATGCATGTACACATGCCCAGCATGAGTTTAAGCCACAGACTGGGTCAGGGACTTGAACCGCAGTCAACTACATGGGAGTCCAGCAACAAAGCCATTACGCCGTCTGCTGGTCCCATGACATATATTTCTATGCAAAAATGCATCATGACTTTCCCAATGACCCAGTATATTAGAGGTGTTTAAATGAGATAGCAGTTTTATCAATCACATATCCTGAAGCATGCACAAACATGAACCCCAAAATACAAAACACATACAAGGAAAAAAACACGTTCTATGTATAAACCCACTTACAAAATGTATAGAATAGGCATACGTCCCCAGATGTTCAGGAAAAACAGTGAAGGAAATAGAAATAGAAGAAAACAGAAAGGAAGTGCTGCCATATTTGACACTGAGGTTTGGACTGTAAATGTAAACCACAAACACCCAAATTATTCATACACAAATGGGTAAGTATGTACGACTTACCTAAACATAGATGCCTACGCATGCATGCATATACAAATTGTGACACATGGCAAACTACTGTAGAGACTGTAAAGGCCTCCTGCTGATGCTCCTGTTTTTGTTTTTACAGATATACAGTGTACAGTGTATCCGATAAGTAGTTCTGGACTGATTTACTTTTATAGTTACATCATAGACTTGCTTTCTGGCACTGTAAGTACTTCTTTTTTATTTTATTTTTTTAAAAAAACAAAACTTTATTCAGTTCATTCAAAAAAAAATGACAAAATAAATTTCAGTTACCCTGCTACAATCTTTCCAAAGGCAAAGCACGCTCTTTTGATGACAGATACATGAACAAATATACACTATTGTGTATATTTGTTTCTTTTAGGCAAAGCACGCTCTTTTGATGACAGATACATGAACAAATATACACTATTGTGAACTATTTTGGGGCACTGTAAGTATTTAACATAAGCGTATTGGACCCTTAAATACATGTGAGATTTGGCTTTTTGCAAGTGAGTTTTCAGAGTGTCGTCAGTGAGAGTTGAACACACGTGTTGGCACAATTGCACTTACCCATTTGCAAAAACAGTATCCTCCCATCCTGTGCTACAATGGACAGAAAATATATTTTATTTTGTCACTGTCACCCATTGGCCTTTTCCTGGTCTGTGCACTGACCTGCAACAAAATACTTTTCCAATTCCAAGCTATGAGGATTTTTATCCATTTTTAATCGAGGTGAAAAACACATAACACAAACTTTACCCTCTTAGCCACTTTTAAGTGTACAATTCAGTTGCATTACGTTTATTTACATTATTGCCAAACAACTCCCCCCAATTTTCTGTCTTACAGATCTGAAGCTCTACATCCGTTAAATGACAACTTTCCTTTACCCCTCACCCCAGCCCCCAGCATCTACCACTTTACTGTCTGTTTCTGATTGGACTACTTGAGATAACCTCAGCTGAGCAGAATCACGCAGTGTTTGTCCTTTTGTGCCTGGATTATTCCACTTAGCGGGATACCCTTTAGATCCATGCATGTTGTAGTTTATGACAGAATGTCCTTCCTTTTTGGAATGTTTTTATGATGGAGAGTGTGTGTGTGCGCATGATAGAGAGAGAAGACCTTTGACAGTTGTGCCACAATTCCCTTTCCTTAGCCCTCCAGCTCCTCAAGATCCTGGACATGCATGTGCATCTGACATGGAATCCAAACCTACAGTTGCCATATAGCTTCCAGCTTTCAGGGCACCTGCATTACCACCATGCCACAGTGGCTGGACTTGCCTGCCCTTGTAAGGCTGAATTGTACAGGCACTCCTCAATGACCTACAGCTTTCCTACAACTAGGTCATAAGTGAGTTGGTCAACAAGCAAGGAGCTTAACCAAAGGCAGGTGTCTTATGTGCTGTGGTGACATAGGTATGCATCTTTCAGTATGTATCATGTGACAGCACACTAGAACGATGTAACTCTGTACATAAAAAGGCATACATTAGCTAAATGCCAGAAAGTGACAAGATACACAACACAATAATATAAATCTGGCATGATTGTTTTTATTTATTCTGAATACCACTGTGTGTGCACAAGTACAAATTTATAAACAAAATGTCTGGTCGTGTAGTGAATACCAACCAACTATGGGAATGTGGCAAAGACTGAGAAAGGGGATTCCCTGCACTGGAGAATAGGTCTCGAGTCCTGAGTGCCAGCGGTCATTAACCAGGGAGGTTGTTAAATGGGGAACGACTGTGTTCCATTTTATGTATATACTACATTTTGCTCAAGGTTTTGAAACTTCAACTGTTTTCTTCCAACCATTTTATAGTTTTGACTCTTATATTTTATGTCTTTGATCCATTTTAAGCTAATTTTTGTATGTGATATGTGATTGGGGGAGTCTAATCTCATTTTTTTTATCTGTCATTTGATTTGATCTGTCTTAAGTTTATGATGGCATAATTTACAAGTCTATGCTGCTGGTATATCTCCTCTACTTTAATCCTTTTAATAAACTGGCAAAACCACCATTACCAATCACACATATACGGTAGTTCATACATTAGCTAAATGCCAGAAAGTGACAAGATACACAACACAATAATATAAATCTGGCATGATTGTTTTTATTTATTCTGAATACCACTGTGTGTGCACAAGTACAAATTTATAAACAAAATGTCTGGTCGTGTAGTGAATACCAACCAACTATGGGAATGTGGCAAAGACTGAGAAAGGGGATTCCCTGCACTGGAGAATAGGTCTCGAGTCCTGAGTGCCAGCGGTCATTAACCAGGGAGGTTGTTAAATGGGGAACGACTGTGTTCCATTTTATGTATATACTACATTTTGCTCAAGGTTTTAAAACTTCAGCTGTTTTCTTCCAACCATTTTATAGTTTTGACTCTTATATTTTATGTCTTTGATCCATTTTAAGCTAATTTTTGTATGTGATATGTGATTGGGGGAGTCTAATCTCATTTTTTTTAATCTGTCATTTGATTTTTAATTATCTTAAGTTTATGATGGCATAATTTACAAGTCTATGCTGCTGGTATATCTCCTCTACTTTAATCCTTTTAATAAACTGGCAAAACCACCATTACCAATCACACATATACGGTAGTTCTTCAGCTTCTATGTGGTTTTGAACAGTTTTCTAACAATCCTGAAATATAACTTAGTCTGACTTAGATAATAGAATTCAAAGGTAAAATTTGGGACCAGCAGTTAAGGTAATGGCTATGTTGCTGAACTCCCATGTAGTTGACTACGGTTCGAGTCCTGGACCCAGTGGCTTAAACTCATGCTGGGCACGTGTGCATGCATGCCCAAGGTCTCGAGAGGAGAATGGGGGAGAAGGGATTGTGACATGGCCATACCCGCTGGAGGGTGATTTCTCGCTTTCTGTCTCTTTGTCTCTCTCTTTCTGGTGAGCGCACACAACCTATAGCAAAAACCTCTTAAAAAAATAATTCAAAGATAAAAATTAACTTGCTACTAACTTTTGTCACATTGAATTTCAAAAGCATCTGACCTTACAAATCATTTATAAAATATATAAAGTGTTACATATTCTTTATTTGATAGTATATACAAACCACTAAAATTTCTTTTATTAAGTAAAAGGCAGTATTTTGGGAATTCTAATTAGATTGGCATAGTTATGACCAAATATATGAAGTAGACATCACTACCTTATCTTCACCCCTTGCCTTTAATAGGTTAATGGACATAAATTAAAACACAAGTGAATCTGCTTGGTTTTGAGAAGTGATGGGATTTCTCCAGCATTTAAATATTCCTATAGCCAGTTACATATAAGCCTAAATAAAAGATCAATCTCCAGTAGGTTTTGAGATGACATACCATCTTTGTGGAAAGATGAGCATCACTAATGAATTGCCAATTTTATCTTTAGAAAGGGCAAATACTGGGACCAGCAGTTAGCGTAATGGCTATGTTGCTGGACTCCCATGTAGTCGACCGCGGTTTGCGTCCCGGACCCGGTGGCTTAAAACTCACGCCAGGCGCGTGTGCGTCCATGCCCAAGAGCCTGAGAGGAGAATGGAGGAGAAGGGATTGCGGCGTGGCCATCCCCCCCTGGGGGGCGATTTCTTGCTTTCTATCTCTCTGTCTCTCTCTGTCTGGCGAGCGCACGCACCCTATAGCAAAAACCTCTCAAAAAAAAAAAAAGAAAGAAAGAAAGAAAGATAGAAAGAAAGAAAGAAAGAAAAAAAGGGCAAATACTGATAGCACTTACTGAACTGAAATTACTATCAAAATTTTAAAAACCCAACAATATTCATTTAACCACAAGCCAGTCTTACCTAAGTCAGAACTGTCTAACAAAAATATCCTGTCAGCTATTCATGTTCTGAGTTCTGGTGTAGGAGATCAATGCAAATATGATACACATTTAAAAGGTGAAACATTTCTGTTTTGTCATAAATAAGGCAGCGGCCACCTATCAGTCATTGGTACCTTTTTTGGGGGGTGGGAGGGGAAGTTTTTGCTATAGGGCACATGCGCTCACCAGAAAGACAAACAGAGAGACAGAAAGTGAAAAATCAACCCCCCGGTGAGGGATGGCCACGCCGCAATCCCTTCTCCATTCTCTTCTCGGGATCTTGGGCATGCATGCGTGAGTTTAAGCCACTGGGTCCGAGACTCGAACCATGGTCGACTATATGGGAGTTCAGCGACGTAGCCATCATCAACTGTTGGTCCCATTGGTAACTTTTTTAAAGATAAACTATCAACTGTTCTCTTTCTGACTTTTTTAAGAATAATTTTATGTAACTTTATTTATTATTATTATTATTTTCCAGTTTGTCAGAAAGAGACAGAGAAAGAGAGAGAGGGAAAGTGAGAAAGCAAGCCACCATGTCCAGGACTTGAACCTTAATCAGCCATGTGGGACTCTAGCACCTTTAACCACCACACCACCTGCCAGCTCCCTGACTTCTTTTTAATGCCAGCGAAGATCATTTCTGTTCCAGGGATGTACTTTTCTTGGCATTCTCCAAGTACTCCATCAGTGTGTCCTCCCCCTAGGTAATGCCTTTGTTCCTGTTGGCATCTGTGTGAGAGAATCCAGGGGCCTGACCTGTCTTCTGCCCAAATAGACCGAGGAGATTTGGGCCAGTCTTGTGCTTGCCTCCCTTTTCCATGGTGTGGCACTGGGCACACTTCTGAACAAAATCTCCTTGCTTTCTCAACATCACCCATTTTTAATTCTTTCTTTTGTCAGCTTGGGATGTAGGGCTCCTGCTCAGAAGTCAGACATCCCACTCTCCCCAGTCTCATTCTTTTGCATGTGGCTATCTATCCATTTGTTTTAAAACAGTTTGTTGGAAAGACTGTTGTTTTGCCAGGACCTGCTCGGCTGAACACGTTTCTCTGAGTGGGGAAGGCTGTGGATTAGAAAGAGACGCAATAACAAACACACAAAGACACACAAGTGTAGAAAAGCAAGGGTTGGGTGGGCTCAGCTTCTCTGATGGAGAAGTTGTGACCTGGAACCGGCCTCAGGTTTATTCTTTTAAAGGGCTGACAATGGGGGAAGAGGATGTTAATCGTCTGAAAATGTGCAAACAACCAGCGTCATGTAATTTCTCTGATCTCTTGGGGGAGAATCTGACAAACACATGTGACTTCCTTTAGCTCAGTAGTGCAGGGCAGAATTGGTGTTTAACAACAGGAAGATAGCCGACGACAATAGGCAAATAGCGCTTTTGTTTGTGAATACTGCTCAGTGGCCCTGCTAGAGGAGCTCACAGAAGGGCATTTCTGCATGCCTAACGTCACATGCTTTCTCAGACTGGCTGCTCTCCACGTTGTTTCCCATCAAAAATCAACTGACCACAGGTGGATCAGTTTACTTTTGGATGCTTAATTTGATCCCATTGATCTTATGCCAGGAGTACATTGTCTTAATCACCGATGCTTTGTAGTAAGTTTTGAAGTTGAGATAGGGGGTGGGGAGTCTTCAAAAAATTCTTGCAAAATATGTATTGTGAAAAAAATTATGCATGAATTTCCATAGTTTGTGCCAAAATAAACTTATCCTTTAATTCCATTTTTCATGGACTTTTTTTTTTTTGAGAGGTTTTTGCTATAGGGCGTGTGCGCTCGCCAGACAGACAGAGACAGAGAGACAGAAAGCGAGAAGTCACCTCCCAGGGGGGATGGCCACGCCGCAATCCCTTCTCCTCCGTTCTCCTCTCGGGGTCTTGGGCATGCACGCACACGGACCCGGCGTGAATTTTAAGCCACCCGGTCCAGGACGCGAACCGTGGTTGACTTCGTGGGCGTCCAGCGACATAGCCATTACACTAAGTGCTGGTCCCCATGGAATTTTGAAGTACCCTTATGTGGGCGTCCTCTAGCTTTTTTTTTTTTCCAATATTGTTTTGGCTATTTTGGGTCCCTTGCCATTCCATATAGATTTTAGTATCAGCTTCTCAGTTTCTACAAAGCAGCCAGCTGGGATTCTGATAGGAATTGTCCTGACCCTGTAGATCCATTTGGGGAGTATCACCAGGGGTTTCCTGAGCCACATGCATGGGACATCTATTCACTTATTAAGATCTTTATTTTAGGGACCAGCATATGGCATAATAGTTACATTGCTGGGCTCCCATGTAGTCAACCACAGTTGGCATTCCAGACCCAGCAGCTCAAAAGTCACACTGGGCGCATGTGCATGGATGCCCAAAATCCTGAGAGAATGGAGGGGAAGGGATTGAGGTGTGGCCATCACCCCAGGGGATAATTTCTCGCTTTCTGTCTCTCTGGTGAGTTTACATGACCTGTAGCAAAAATCTCTCTAAAAAAATTAAAACATCTTTAAATTTTTTTTTTCAGCAAATACGTATACTTTTCAGAGTATAAGATTTGCCCTTTGTTAAATTTATTCCGAAGTATTTTATTCATTTTAATGCTATGCCACATGGAATTGTTTTCTTAAGTTCAGTTTTCAATTTTTCACCTGGATATTTCTTTTCTTTTTCTTAAAGATTTCTGCACTAGGGTGCATGTTCTCACTGGAGAGAGACAGAGAGTGAAAGTGAGAAATTACTCCCCAGAGGGATGGTTACACTGCAGTCCCTTCTCCAGTCTCCTTTTGGGATTTTGGGTACACACACACACACACACACACACACACACACATATACACACCTCACATGTTTTTCAGGTTGCCGGCTCACACACACACACACACATATACACACCTCACGTGTTTTTCAGGTTGCCGGCTTGAACCGCAGATTTGACCATGTGGGCTCCAGCACCTTAACAACTACACCACCTGCTGGCCCACCTGGATGTTTTTAATGCTCAGCTTTTATCAGGGTCTTATTCCCCAGTCACTAACCAGGTACCCTCACACTTTCTGGTGTCTGGGATAAACAAGGACTCTGGAACCTGAGTTTCTGACAGTGGAGACTCTGCTCTTCTGATTCCCTGCAGTGAGCTGACCAGTCTGACCTCGGGCCCTTGGCTTCGTTTCAGGGTTTCTTGGAGGAGACCAGCCTTTTTTATGGACATTACACCATTGACGGGGTGAAATTTCAGAACTTCACTTATGACCTGCCTCTGGCCTATTTGTTAAGTACAATTGCCTACCTGGCCCTGAGCCTTCTCTGGATAGTGAAAAGGTAAAGTTGATCTTGTGATTGCATTGTCTCTGAACCACCCTGGAGTGGTGGCTGGAGTCTAGGGGAGGCCTGTGGGAGAACCATTGCTGCGAGGATGCACAGAACTGAGGGGTGGGCCTTGTGGAGAAAGGTTTGTGAGTGTGGTCCCAGCTGATGTCTCAGCCTGGAAATGGATTCGGGATTAGGAGTTGGAGTAGCCACCTGGAGTTCTTCAGTCATTACCAAATACACAATCAAGGTTTACTGAACTCCCTCCCACACAGCTTATGTTCACTTAGTTTTTATGTTAATGAGGGTGGGTTGCAAGTGACAGAAACCTCACTCGGCCTAACTGAGGCAGAGATAATTGAGTGGTTCAGAGAACCAAGGAAAGGAGGAAACCCTGATTACAGGAAGGACAGCAATGTGGGCTGTGGGAGTGGAAACAATATCAAACACAGGGCTCCTTGTCTTTGATTCCCTTGTGCGGTAGCAGCCTCCTTAAGGAAACTGGGCACCTTACTGTTTCCATCAGCCCACGACTTCCTGGATCGCAGGTGCAGAAATCCTTTGAAGTGAGTTCTTGACTGTTGCATTCAAACACCCAAACCTGACTCTTCAGTTGTGGCCAAGGCATTAGGGCCACGTGACAACATGGCTTCCCCAGGGGAGGCAAGTGGTTCAGTGATAGCCGTTCCCAAGAAAAGAGGGGTATGCGTCACTTTTTTTTTTAACGTAAACGACTGTCCTAAAAGGTAGAACAGCCCGAACAACAGGGTGTGTTTCTTGCGTGTCCACTCTGGGTAAGGGCATATGTTGGTGTGGAATCCCTCTCAGAGTCGTTCTGGAACTCAGACTCATGGGAGTTCAGCCTTCTCATAGTGCAGGATCCCTGGGCTGTATTAGAGAGCCTGGATTTTATTCAAGCTGTGATAGAAGTCATTAGATGGACATAAGGAAACAATTTTCCTTTTTTTCTTTTGTGAAAAATTTCTTTCCATGGGGTGGGAGGTGCATCCCAACAGGGACTTGATGCCGTGACCCGTCCCCGGTCTCAGCTGGTCCAGATCACAGGCACACATGCACCCAGCGTGCTCAAGGAGGTCCTGGGACACAGACCCAGGACCTTTCCCATGTGGGTCCAGTTGTGTTACCGCTATACGGTTTTCAACAATGAGATACCTGCTTAGCTGCCACACATATTTAGAATGGCCAAAACTTGACCATGTAAACTGCACAGAAAATGTACCCACATCTACCTTGTTATTTTTTGACAAAGCCAATTCACAGGCCTGTATTTTGCTGGTGCCCTTGTAAAAAGGACCATTGTGTTTTGGGATCAGGTCTGTGGAAGGGTTCAAAGTCAACCTGATTCGGAGCGAGGAGCACTTCCAGAGCTACTGCAACAAGATCTTTGCGGGCTGGGACTTCTGCATCACCAACCGCAGCATGGCTGACCTGAAGCACAGCAGCTTGCGGTACGAGCTCCGAGTGAGTGCTGCTGGATTCGCCCTGGGGGAGCATGGTGCTCACCAGTCAGGCCTTGGAAGGTGGAGTTTGCAGCTTAAAGGGGAGCTAGGTAGGGGCTAGGCTGTCCTCTCTGCTCAGCGGGTCTCCCCTATGTCATTTTAAAGAGCTCTTCACAGCAAACAGCTTATTGGGGCTGATCTCTTGGGACCTAAGCAGGGACATTGGTCAACAGGGACTGGAATGAGAGGTGAAGACACAGTGGCCGGGAGGAGGTGGGGTCTTCCCTCCAGCCCTGCAGCCTTGCCGCTAGCTAGCTTTTCCCTGGTGAGAGCCTGTTCTAAATGGAAAGGAGACTAAGCAGGGACGATTACATGAGAGGGTGGAGTAGAAGGAATAAGAAAAGGTACCAGAGAATTTCCAAATTATTAAGGAGCAAGGGAATAATGAGTAGCATCTTGATTAAACCCACCTAAAAAGGGAGGGCATAAGCAGACCAAAAGCTTAAATAAAGTAAGGTGGGAGGAGTCAAATCTAATGTGTCTTTCATTGCACGAAATAGGAACAGGTTGAATTCTCATTAAACGCAGAGTCTGGGCCAGCCAGTGGCTTGGTGGTTAAGGTGGCTAGACCCCACATGGCCATCTGTGAGCTTCGAGTCCTAGACCTGGTGGCTTGAAGAACACATCAGCCACGTTTTTGTGTGTGCCCAGAATGCTTTCAGAACCCTGAAAGGAGGGAAAGATGGAGGTGAAGGGATTATGGCATGGCCATTCTCCATGGAGGTGATTTTCTCACTGCCTTTCTTTCTCTCCCTCCAGTGAGTGCATGTACCCTTTGGCAAAAATTAAAAAAAAAAAAAGAGAGAGAGAGAGATTACCATATTGGGTTAAAAAAGAAAAAAACACTAAATTGTATGTTTTTTTAAAAATTGATACAGACCCAGCCATGGTGGGATGTGCTGCTAAGATGCTGTGTTCTGCAGGCTGGAACCACAGGGAGGCTTAGGTTTGATTCCTGATACAGCCTGAAGTTCAGGTGGGGTGGTGCATGCCTATAGTCCCAGCAGCTCAGGAATCTCGGGCAGAAGCTTCACAAGCTCAAGGCCTCCTGGGCAACATCATTAGACCTAGTCTTTAGGAAAAGAGAAAAGTTGGGCATGGTGGTATATACCTGTAGCCCCAGCTACTCAGAAGGCTGAGGATCATGACATGGTGAGACCCTGTCTTAAAATAATTTTTTTTTAATTTAAAAGAAACAAGGGGCTAGTAGATGGCATAATACTTATGTTTCTGGACTCCCACATAGTCAACTGTGTTTTGAGTCCCAGACCCAGTAGCTTAAAACTCATTCCAGACATGGGTGCATGTGTGCCCAAAATCCTGAGAGGAGAATGGAGGAGAAAGAATTGCAGTGTGGCCATCCCCCTTGGGTGATTTCTTGCTTTCTGTCTATTTGGTGAGTGCACATGTCCGATAGCAAAAATCTTTCTTCAAAAAAAATTTTTTTAATGACATAGAGTATATATACTTAATATCATACATAGGTTATAGTTTTGTTTTCACATTTATTGCAAAACCAAACTGCAGCCTAAAAGAGAAAGTTGTACCTTTACGTAGAGCATTTAGTAGATATAAAGACCAGCTGGACCAGGGCCAGTGTTTAAGGTGCTGAACTCCTGCATGGCCGACCATCATGTAAAATAAAGACCTGGTGGCTTGTTTTTTAATTTTCTCTCTCTCTCTCTCTCTCGTGAGTGTATATGCCCTATAGCAAATTTTTAAAAAATAATACTAATAATTAAAAAGCAGTTGGGCTTAGTCTGGGGAAGTATCTTGGGGGAGCTGAATAATTAAGGGAAGTCTTAAAGGTGGATGGGGAGGCTGTCTCGGGTTCCACCCTTGGGAAACACCCATGGCCCCTTCGACCTGGGGCTCACACAGGAGTTTTCTTTGGTTCTTAGGCAGATCTGGAGGAAGAAAGAATTCGGCAGAAGATAGCAGAAAGGACCTCAGAAGAAAAGCTACGCATTTACTCTTTGAGACTCTTTTTGAACTGTATTGTTCTGGCTGTTCTAGCTGCGTGCTTTTATGCCATCTATATAGCAACTATCTTCTCGCAAGAACACATGAAAAAAGTGAGTACTTCGTGGGAGTCAGTTTATGCTCGGTCGGGATTTATGCTGAGTGCATTACAAAGCCGTGAGGGGATCCCGTCGCCATTTCTGTTTTATACACAGGGATGTGAGTTTGGCTGAAAGTTAGAGGGGAGCAGAAGCAGTGTCTACTTTAAGAGAAGTGTGTTAAAACATCTAGAGTGGAGTGTTTGAGATACCTCTTGCTCTCGGAAAAACAATATTCAAATTCAGTTGGACTACCTCGATAGGATCCCTGATTGTACTTAGAGCTGAGGCTCTAGTTTGCCTAAAATAGCAATGGTTTAAAAATCCAAGCTGGTGTAATGGCTTTGCTTCATGAAATCAATCGTCGGGGGCCCAGGTTCTATCGGTCTTGCGGCTCTGCCCTGAAGGGTGCAGCCCTCTTCTGAATGGCACAAGATAACCCACCATGTCCACATCTAGCCTAGGGGAGGAGGGAAAGGGCTGAAGAGGGCGTGTCTTTGCTTCAAGGGCATGACCAGCAGGTTGGATTAAAAACTTCTGCTAATAGCCGTTTGGCCAGAATTTAGTCACAAGGGAGGCCAGGAACTTTGGGGTTTATCCTACTAGGTCACTGAGAAAATCTTGACGTGTTTTTCTGTTTTTCTTTGTAAAAACGCATCATGGCTTTCCCAAAGCCTAGCAGATAGCTATTATGTGGCTGAATCATCTGTTAGGATAAAATGAGAGAATGCTATTACAAATCAGTCAATACTACATCTCTGAAAAATAATTCAAGTTGCCCATTTATACAGAATGTATTTTTTTTAATTCTTCATCGTAATGAATCCAGTAGAGCTTATTTTTCTTCCAACATGGTACTTGATACCTCTCAACAACTTAGGAAGGAGACGGCTTGTATTTACAGGCCATGTTGAATGACGAAGCTGAGGGGACTTCAAAAAAAAAATCTATAAAAAACAGAATTAAGGGACCAGCAGTTAGCGTAATGGCTATGTCTCTGAACTCCCATGTAGTCAACTGCGGTTCAAGTCCTAGACCTGGTGACTTAAACTCACGCCGGGCGCGTGTGCATGCGTGGCCAACATCTGAGAGGAGAATGGAGGAGACAAGATTGCGGCGTGGCCATCCCCCCTGGGGGGGTGATTTCTCGCTTTCTATCTCTGTCTCTCTCTGTCTTTCTGGCGAGTGCACGTGCCCGATAGCAAAAACCTCTAAAAAAAAATGAAACAAAACAAAACAGAATTAAAGTATGGGTTTATTTTGGTGTAAAAATATTTAAAATCCATGCATAGTTTTTTTTTTTAATAATACAGAAAGTCCATGAACTTTTTGAAGGCCATCCCCCCATGTAAGTTTGGTGTATTTTGTTTTTGCCAAATAAACGTAGTTGAGCTCTTTCAGTTCCATTTGTTTATGTTGTAACTTTGTTTATGTTCCATTTGTTTATGTGTCTTTCAGTTCCATTTGTTTATGTTGTAACTTCCTTTATTCTAATCCTGACCTATTGGTTTTGTTATCTTTCTAGGAAATTGACAAGATGGTTTTTGGAGAGAACCTCTTGATACTGTACCTACCGTCTATTGTGATCACGCTGGCCAATTTTATCACCCCACTGGTCTTTGCCAAGATCATTCACTATGAGGATTACTCCCCAGGCTTTGAGATACGACTGACAATCCTTAGGTAATGCCTAACTCGAGGATGGCAGATGTGCCAGGCAGACCATCGCTTGTCCACTCCCCTGCCTATGGCAGACATTGCTAATCAGTTGTGGCACATTTTCCTCCTGAGCCAAGAATTCCTCTCAGCCTTTGGATCAGAGTTTATACATGCAGCGAAATTGGTTTGACTTGAGTCTACTCATCAGTATAGTCAACCCCTTGTATTTGCAAGTTTTGCATCTATGGGTTTTACATCTACAGATTCAGCCAGCTGCAAATCATATTTCCTCCATATCTGCAGATGAAAAACCTGTACATGCAGTGAGCTGACTGTAAAACACCTGGGCATCCGTGGGGAATCCTGGAACCAGCCCCCCACGGATACCAAGGGATGACTGTATTTTAATTCTGATCTGTATATGTATTCACATATCAGCAGCTGAGGGCACAGGGTCGGGCCCTGGGAGAAGGTATTGCCCTGAAAGTGCTTGAAATGACATTGGAAGACAGAGCCCAAGGAATTAGCAAATGGGTGAAGAGGACCAGGTAGGAACAGTGTGGAACTGAAGAGGGTTCTTCCTGCTCCTCAGATGCCTACCTGAGATTTCATGCGTCTCTTTGTGTGAAAAAGCTTTTTACTTTGGAAGTTTTCACACAAGACAGATGGGGTCATGAACCATCGTGTGCACATCCAGCATTTGACTAACCTTGTTTCATCCATCCCTCCCACTCTAGCTGGGCTCCTCTCAGCCAGTCTCCAGCAGTGAGTCACTTCACCTGGGAACACTTCACTGTGGCTCTGGTGATGAGAACTGTTTTCCCTTAATATGACCATTGTCATGCCTCTCAGATTGAGTCAGCCTCTCTGATGGATTGGAGATAGTTTTCCATAGTTGGTTTGTTTAAATCAGGACCCAAACATGGTCCAAACATGCTGCATTTGGCTCCCTCCCCTTTCGTTTTGCTGTTGATTTGTGGGAGAAAGCGAGTCCTTTGTTCTGTTCTGGATTTAGTTCTGTTTCTTCCTGGCATGTCTGTTATTCTGCACACGTAGTCGCTCTAAACTACACACTGGACACGAGTGCACGTGTGCCCAAAATCCTGAGAGGAGAATGGAAGAAAAGAAATTGCGGCATGGCCATCCCCCCAGGGGTGCTTTCTCAGTTTCTTTCTCACTCTGTCTCTCTTTGTTGCTCCAGTGAGTGCACGTGCCCTGTGGCAAAATCTGAAAGAAGGAATAAAGGTTTTACATTACTGTGTATTTCTTCCACAAGCAAGAGAGACAGGTACCCCCCACCTGGGTCTTTTTTTTTTTTTTTCTTGGAGAGGTTTTTGCTATAGGGTGCGTGCGCTCGCCAGACAGACAGAGAGAGACAGAGAGACAGAAAGCGAGAAATCACCCCCCAGGGGGGATGGTCACGGCGCAATCCCTTCTCCTCCATTCTCCTCTTGGGATCTTGGGCACGCACACACACGCACCCGGCA